AGAGAGAGAGAGAGAGAGAGAGAGAGAGAGAGAGAGAGAAATGAGAGGAGATCGTATACGTGCACGTACGTGTGCAGGCTAAGAGAAAAAAAAAGCTGGTGCGTCAGATAGAGTTTGGGAGTGATTTTCGGCGCGATACGCTTCTTGTTCGTCGAGCTCTCGCCACCGTATGTTACCAAAAAGAACGAGATCTATTCTCGCGTCCAATCACCGAAAACACATACATGGATGTGTATCTATACAGTCATATTTTTTGTTTTGCAAGTTTGTAAAGTAAGCGAAGTAAATGAACGTGTGTAAGTTAAATGTTGAGTTTGCATCTGGTAGGAAACGAACGTACGTCTATGCAAGAAATTGTAAAATGATTCATTAAATTGATGGGGACTGAATAGAATGCATGTAAGCAGCAAAACATTTAAATTGATTATGAGAAATTACTGTTTCACCAAAAGAAACTGTTTTCAACAGTGTTTTAAGACCGACAGTGCTCGGGGCGCAGGACGTGAACGAAACGGTGTATAAAAATTCGCACATTTGACCACTGGAGCTATCTGTATCCTGCTTGAACCGTATTGGTCTTTTTTTCAATTTTTCTTGATTTGTATCGATCCAGAGTTTATCTTTCATTATTGTTTATTACATTGAAAATTGTCTCGGGACCATAAGATGCTTTGATCCGGCAAGATCTTTACTCTTCCTTTCATTTCGTGGAAAAGATTTTCATAGAGTATTCTAACATTTACGATGCGTATCATTTCTAATTGATTCTTTTAAATAAATTAAATTGCGCAACGTTTATCAGCCACACTCTTCACCGATTACGCCGTCGGATTCAACGATTCTATGCGAAAGAGTCGGGGCTGTTATTCCGTTATGTTACTTGCGCATTAACACGATAATGATAATTAGCCCTCTTATCCGCGCGTCAACCTTCCAGCGAAATCTTGCAAATTATGCAACTCCGACATGACGAAGTTTCTCGGGCGAGAGTGTGCCACGTAAAATCTCACAGAGACTAACACGCCGAGGAGGAAGCGGGGCGCGGTGAGGGAGGAGGAGACACGAAAAAGTGTCGCCGCTTCTCAGCGACAACGGAACGACGTCCAATTTTAATCTCGGAATTACTTCCATTTTATTTCAATTTTCTTGCATTTAAACCGTCTAAGCGAGTTTACCTTCGCAATATCATTGCCGAGGATCGTCGCCGGCTGGTCGGGTCGGGTAGGAAGAAGAGGACCGCGGGAGGGAAAAGGGAGAGAGAGAAGGATAAGAAGAAGGACGTCGGCGGAGACGGGCGGAAAAGGTGGAAGTACCTGCTCTAATAAATTTACGACCTAAAAAGATTAAGCCGCGTTAGCCCTGTTCTTTATATTTCCGCGAGAGGAACGCGAACGAGAGAAAGAGAGAGAGAGAAAAAGAGCGCGCACTCTCTCGCCGCTAAAGTCGGTCCTTGGTGAATGAGAGAGACGGGCCGTTACAGCACAAGATGCAGAGA